TCCCTACTGGTCTTCAGCTGTTCAGGTGTACAGGAATGGTCCCGCTTCTCTAGATGTGACACAAACTCTTTTTGCTAAAAACACATAATCCCACCAGACTGCATTCTACTCTAGCTGGTTTCCGGACAGTATTGAAGGGCAGCCTCATGTAGAGTGTCCTGCAGTTGTCCAAGAGGGAGGTCACTATGCATGGACTGAGGCTGGGCTATCCCAGTCCAGGGAAAGCCATAGGTGTGGTGAGCCATAGGTTCAGCCCTACCAGGAAGATTTCAGAGATTTCGGGGTCTACTGTGAGTAGGACTAGCAATGGATGCAACCCTAAGGGGTGAAGCACTGTATAAATGGCTGAAATAAATAAATGAAATGAAAACAATTCTATTACTTCCTTGGAATAGATAGAATATTTGGCAAATTAGCTTGCACATTACATATTCAATGGAAGAGGAATAAATGTGAGCTTGCCTAAAAATGATGAACAAACTTGTTAAGAGTTGAAATATGAATGGATATGGAAATTTTCTACAACACTCTTCCAACTGTGCAAACCAAGCAGGATATAATGGGCCAAAAGCTACCCCTTAGCAAAGGCAGAAATGAAACTTCCTATTTTGACAGGGAAAACCCCAACGCTATATATGCAAGTCACCCCTGAAGATGACCTTGGCTCTGTGACTTCACTTTGCTGAAGTTTTATTTCTATTTAAATACTGATATTGTAAGTAGGGCACCTCCCGAAATATACTGGAAAACACCTGCCAAGTCAGATATGAGTGTGGACTTTGAAACGAGGAGGGGAATGTAGTTCACATTCTTGCAGCTGAATGATGACTGCTGCAATTATTTCAATTGTAACTTGGAAGTGTGTGGGCAGAGAATTTCTCTGGCACTACGGAGGTGCTAATGAGGTTGCCTCACATGGCTGATGCTGTCTGTCGCGTGATTTTGAATTAAAGTTATTGTCACACAAATATATGCTTTATTTTCTCTAAGAATTCTGTATCTTTTCCCTCACATCAACATCTTGTCCTTAGCTAAATTAAAATAAGTTCAACTTCTGAGTACCTTTAGAGCAATACAAAACAAAGACCACCTGATACAATAGAGCAGGGTTCCCCAAACCTGGGTCTCCAGCTGTTTTTGGACTACAATTCCCATCATTATCGCAAAGCATTGGAAGACACAAGATCTACCCACCAGGGAAGAATGGCAGATGAAGCTGATGGACTACATGGAACTGGCGGAAATGACTGGCAGAATCCGAGACCAGGGAGAAGAGTCGGTGGAAGAAGATTGGAAAAAAATTAAAGTATATTTACAAAAATATAGCAAAATTAATGAATGTTAGAAGGATGCTGGAATGAAGTTACATGGTTTTAGCAGAAATGTTATAAAGAACTAAGTAAAAATGGATTGTAATGGGTTAAAGTGTAAAATTTAAGGTCAGATTGGGTTAAAGTAAATTATAGAACAAAAATTGAGAAAGATGGAAAGGATTTGCTGAAATAGCTAATTTGAATTAGAATACAAAAAAGGGAGGTGCGAGGAGGTCGATGAAACAAGTAAATGAAAGACAAGGATATGGAAATACTGGATGTGTTTTTAAATGTTTTTGTTCTTAAATGTTTTTGTTTTTTCTTTTTATTGTTGTGCTATATTGTTTTTTCATTTTGCTTCTTATTTTTTGATGTATTGTAACTTCTCATTATTTTTCTTTTTCTTTTTTTCTTTTTTTGTAATTGTTAAACTCTTAATAAATATATTTTACAATTCCCATCATCTCTAACCAATGGTCCTGCTAGCTAGGGATGATGGGAGTTGTAGTCCAACAACAGTTAAAGACCAAAGTTTGGGAAACTGCAGTAGAGGACTAGAGTCTGGGTTTTTCCCAGGTTAGGGTTTAAATGGCACTTTACAGAGTAACGTTAGCAAAAGAGATCCCTGCCCAAAAGATTTCATGATCCAAATTTAGACTGTTGGCTAGGTGTATGTCAACAGAGAAAAAAACATTTCTCCCTTTGATATGGAGCTGGTGTCTCTCAAGGCCAAGCCTATAGGACACCAAAAAGACCTCATCTATGAAGCTGCCTTGTCTACCAAGATCACCTGATGAGGCCACTTTACTCACATGTTATCCACCAACTTCTAAGGCAAGGGGGGGGGACCTCAGGCCCATTCCCAGGCCATGCCTCTCATCAGTCCTTCCGCATGCCCCCACCCTTGAGTGCTTTTATCCTGTTGTATTGTGTGCTTTTGCTTGGCTAGATGGAAGATGGGGATGGGGGTCTATATCTATTGTACAAAGTGTCATCCCCCTACCCCAATCCATTTTTTGCATCTGGCTCTGCTCATCACCAGAATGCCCCCAGCTCTGTTGTCCAAAAGGGAATGTGGCTCTTGGGCTGAAACTGGTTTTGCACCCCTGTTCCAAAGTGAGGCTGGTGGGGAGACAGTGGGCCTTTTCTGTAGTGGTAAAACTCCTTCCTTCAAGGACTACTAGCCACAGTGGCTATGCTCTGCCTCCATAGTCGGAGACCGTAGTGCTTCTGAGTCCCAGCTGCAGGAGGGGAGAGGGCTCTTGGGCTCGGGTCCCACTTGTTTGTTTCCCAAAGGCATGTGGGTGGCCACAGTGAGAACAAGGCTTCTGGACTAGATGGGCCCCCTTCCTCCTGATCTAGCCCTGGCAAGGATAACAGTGGGGAAAACGTTTTGTTCAGGCAATACTTTGGTTTGACTAGGGTTAATTCTTAAGGGGCTTTTGGCTCTCTTGTTTGGATGGGTTCCACTACTATTCTTCATATTGTTAGGCTTGGTCTTGCAGAATTTATTTTGATACTGTCATGCATTTATGGGTGGTGGGAACCTCAGACACTACCACATTTCAAAAAAGTGGGATAAATAAATATTATATCTGTAGCTGTGTCTGTTGCGCAGCAGCTTTGCCAAGTACTGTACAGTACCGCAAAGTGATAATGCCCTATTTCACATTTTGCTTGCTTGCTCAGGTCAGAAGTAAGATCCACTGAACTCAGAAGGATTCACTTTTGATCAGGTGGCTGTAATTTCTTCTCAAGAAGAAACATCCTTTGCAGAGCACATTTTACACTTTTGGCTGTGGCCTGCTTTGTTTTTGCTGATCTGAACTTTCTGAAACCTATTCACTTAGAATAAATATTAGGAAATATTAGGAAAACCCTCCCAGTTTGGTGGCTTTTTCTTCTTAGAAAAGAAAGCGCAGACCAGTACAATCAGTTGGAAAACGGAAATGTGATGATGCAGTTACTGTTCAGCCAAATATCTGATAAACAGGATGGGCTGTGGCTTGGACCTCATCCCAGAGGGAAGGAAGGAAGGAAGCCTGCCTCTTTCAGCGGGAGCTTGGACGTTTAGGATGGAAGCAGGTCCACTAAGTGCTGAGCTTTCTCCAGGAAGGTTTGAAGAAACGGGAGGCGTAAGGCCAGAACGTGAGTCTGTCTGGCTTCAGTATTTCTGTGAGAGCTGGGACTTCTTCATCTAAAGCCAGCCATGTCCCCATATCCATGTCTGAATAGAAGGGCTTGTAGCTCAGTGGCAGAGCCTCCACTTTGCAGCAGGCAGATGGTCCCAGGTTCAATCCTCAGCATCTCCAGGTATGGTTAGGAGGGAACCCTGCCTGAAACACTGGAGAGCTGCTGCCAGTCAGTGTGACAACAATCTGACTTGGTATAAAGCAGCTTCCTAAGACTAGGACTTGCCAATCAGAAGATTGGCGGTTCGAATCCCCGCAACGGGGTGAGCTCCCGTTGCTTGGTCCCAGTTCCTGCCCACCTAGCAGTTCGAAAGCACGTCAAAGTGCAAGTAGATAAATAGGTACCGCTCCGGCGGGAAGGTAAAGGGCGTTTCCGTGCGCTGCTCTAGTTCACCAGAAGCGGCTTAGTCATGCTGGCCACATGACCCAGAAGCTGTACGCCGGCTCCCTCGGCCAATAAAGTGAGATGAGCGCCGCAACCTCAGAATCAGCCACAACTGGACCTAACAGTCAGAGGTCCCTTTACCTTTAAGTCTTCCCAAGGGGGCAAACCATTGTGCCTTCACTCTAAGGAACAGTATATTTTCTAAAAAAACAGCAGTAAGGAGATGCTAGTTCACCTCAAAGGAAATAGTTCTACATGTGCTCTGAGGCACTTATAAAACTTAAAACTCTAGCTCCCACTCAGAGAATTTTAGAGTTGGAAGGGTCCCCAAGGGTCAACTAGTCCACCCCTGCAATGCAGGATTTACAGGTAAAGCAGCCGTAAATGATGGTCGTCCAACCTCTGCTTAAAAACTCCCAAAGGAGAGTCCAACACCTCTTGTTGGAATCTGCTTCACTCAAACAGCTCTTACTTTCAGAAAGTTCTTCCTGATGTTTAGCCAGAATCCCCTTTCTTGTAACTTGAATCAGTTGGTTCGAGCCCTACCCTCCAGAGCAGGAGAAAACAAGCTTTCTCCATCCTCCATGGGACAGCCCTTAAGATATTTGAAGGTGGCCAATCATATCTGCTCTCAACAGTTCCTCATAAGGCTTGGTTTGTAGAACTTTGATCATCTTGGTCGCCCTCCTCTGCATACGTTTGTCAACACCCTTCCTAAATTGTGGTGCCTAGAACTGGACACAGGACTCCAGGTGTATTCTGACCAAGGCAGAATAAAGTGGTACTATTCTTTCCCTTGACGGAGACTCTGTACTTCTGTTGATGCAGAGTAGAGTAGCATTAGCCCTTTCTGCTGCTGCACCACTCTGTTGATTCATTGGCCACCATTGGGCATTAATTAGTATTGTTTACGATTGGTTTTAATGATTAGCTCCACATGCGCCCAAAGCGTTTTGCAATTAATTTTATAAATAGAACCGACTTATATATAAGGGAGGAGAAGGAGGAGCCAAGCATCCTATAAACGTCGGAACGCGTTTGCAGCAGCGCCTCTCTGGCTCCTGCCGAAACAGCTGCCTAGGAAGCGAGCGAAGGCGTAAAGGCGCCACCGAAGTGTTTTGGCCCCGCTGGGGAGCCGTAAGGCGCTTCCGGAAACATGGCGGCGCCCAGCGGGGGCCGGAAGCGGCGGAGGTGCCGCTGCTGTGTCCGTCCCCGCCCGCTCTCCTCCTGCCTCCGGGACCATGCGGGCCTCCCCTCCCCGGGCGAGGCATGGCGGCGGCGGCGGCGCCGGAGCAGCTGCGAGGCCGGAGCCTGCCGGAACTGCGGGAGATGCTGAGTCGGCAGGAGAAGCTGCTGGGGGACCGGTGAGAGGCCGGGGCGGGAAGGAAAGGAGGGGCCGGGCCGACTCCCCCTCCGCGGCTCAGGCGGGGCGAGCAGCTCCCCTTCCCCTGGAGAGCGGCGCTTCCCTCCGCTTTTGCCTTCCGGGGGGCGCCCCTTCAACCCCGAGACAGTATTAGTAGCAGCAGTAGTAGTAGTATTAACGATTATTTTATTTTATTTTATTTTATTATTTATTATTTATTATTTATTATTATTATTTATTATTAAACCGCCCTTCACCCTAAAGCCCCAGGGCGGATTACAGCATCGAAACGCAATTATAAGTTATAAGAACAGTTAAAACAACTTACACAGCCCTTTGTACCAACATGAACGAGGACTCTTAAAGCATTTCTGTTTGTATTTCAGAAATGTATCATTTGCCTACTTTTCTACGAAGATCAATAGCTGTTATTTACGTGCTGGTTTCCTGCTACTTGGTGCCCCTCAAAGCACCTCACAGTCAATAAATAACACATACACACACGTGGGAGAAAGGCTAAGACAAAAAACCATTGGTCTGCCTGGCTCACTGTGTTTTTCACTGATGAGCAGCAGCTCTCCAGAATTTCAGGTGGGATTCTGGGCCAGCCCTCGTTGGAGATGCTGAGGACTGAAATGTTTGCATGTGAAGCAGGTGCTTTAGGTCCTTCTCAGATATGACAAACTAAATGAAATTGTGCAGCATCAATAACAAAAGAAACACTAGAGGCGTCTATGGAAATGGTTGTCACATATAAAGTGCACACATAAATGCACACTGCCAGTGAGCTGCTGTTTTTTAATTCAACTAAAACTTTTTATCTAAAAATTAAATGTTGTTGAATGTGATATGAAAATAGAAACACCGCAGGCACACTGATATGCCTGTTATCACCTGTGAAATGTTAGAAGATCTCCCACTCCCCCTTCAGTAAGAAAAGTTCCAAGTAAGGGTGGCCAAATGTCACATAGAGTCAGATGTGCCCCTCTACCCTGTTTTATGTGCTAGGGCGGTGTGTGTGTGTGTGTGTGTGTGTGTGTGAGTGTGTGTCATTTCCTCATCTCATTAGCAGCATTAATGGTTGGGCTGTGGCTCAGTGGTAAAAGCATCTGTTTTGCATACAGAACAGTCCCTGGCAGGAAGGTGAGAATCCAGCATGAAATCCTGCTGTGGGTACAGTACCAAGCTAAATAGGTGAATCGTCTCATTCAGTATAAGGTAGCTTCCTATGTTCCTATGATGCCAACTTCAAATACTGTACAATATGGCAATCTTGGTAGTTTCAACATTTTTAGTTTTCTTTATTAAATACAAGTAAAATAAACATGCTTAATTAGATTGCTCTCTAGGACATAAAAAGATTTTATTATGCAAACAATTTCCCCCCAGAAAATCTTCTGGGGGAAAACCATGCTGTTCCATTTGACAACCTCAAACAAATAGAAGGGATAGTAGCAGACTGTGTTTGCTAATGGGCTTCAGAGGAATTCAAAATGTGAATTAGAACTCATCCTTGAATTCTGTTTACCTTAGTGTGTATCTTCATCACATCTATTATAGGAAATTTGTATCCAGGCTTCCGGATAAAGGTAAAAAGATATCCAGCTTCGTTGAGAAATTGAAGATTGCCATTGCACAAGAGGAAGAGCTGCAGAGAACAACTGAGCTTCTATCTGCTGTTAGATTAGAGTTCCAGGAAAAACAAGAGGCAATCAACTCTAGCAAACAAAAAGGGGTTGTCAGCAACAAGTCAACATGCCAAGACCCACCTCTTATTTCTGAATGTCACTACAATGAGATTGAATCATCTCTGCAGAACAAGCAAAGTGTCTGGACCAAGAAAGAAGCAAAGCAAACAGAAGTGCATTAGTAGGACAAGCCCCTGAGGACACCAGTTTTCCTCAAGGAAGCAAAAATGTTTTGGAGGTGTCAATAGCCAGGCTTCCAAAAGATGCTCAGGAGGCTCTAGACAAAGCTGAAAATCCAGCACAATCTGCAAGCAGCAGCAGTGAAGCACTGGTGGATGCCTTCGAAAGAATTTCAGTTGGAGGGGGAGAGTGTGGGGAGAACTCTGAAAATGGGCAGAGTTTTGACTGTAAAGGCCGTGCTTTTCAGAACTTTCCAAACACACCACCCAAAACTCCACATTACATGGAAGTGCTGGAACTGAGAGCGAAGAACCCTGTGGCAAAAAGAAGCAAATTTAAAGCTAATGTGTGAGTACTGTAGGAAACGCGCTCTCGCAGAGAGAGCTTTTGCAATAACCACAAGTGGGGGTATGTTTTATGCATACTGGGAAGTTTATGATACATATTTTGGGGAATAAATATTTTTTAAAGGTAGGATTATAAAATAGTTATTATTTGCTGTGATACATTAGAATCATAGAATTGTAGAGGTGGAAGCTACTCCCGAGGATCGTCTAGTCCAACCCCTGCAATACAGTGCAAAACCACCAAGCTATGGCCCTTTCCCGAATGCAGGGGGAGCTTAGCCCAAGCAGTGTAGAGCCACAGGGGTCTCTTCCACTCAGAGACCCCTAAATTCTCTCTTGGCCCTGTGCCAGGTGGACTTGAAGGAAACCAGGCAGCAGCTGCCACCTGACCAGAGCTGCCATTTTCTCTGCCGTGGAGGCCTATATGAGAATACAAAGTGTTTCAGTCCTCTTATAAGCCATAATCCTTGGGATAGAGCAAGATGGGGGTCATTTTAATTCCTTGATTGCTTCATGGCCTCACTCTTCTGTGCAAGCACAACTGAGGAAGCTTCCCTGAGCATCAGATGTTAGCCTCAAACTCGTCCAAACCTGAAATTTCAGAGCGGAATAGGAGCGGAGGGAAGGAAGGAGCAACTTTATGTGCCAGAGGGCCGGGAGGCATTTCATGAGCTGTGCTCTTGGTTTCTTCTAGATTGCTGGCTGAGTCAAGTGGATCGTCTTGTGGCTCCCCAGATATCCCTTCACCTAGAGGTCCCCCCTCTTCCCTTTCTGCAGAGGAAAGACGCCACAGAGATAAGAAGCACTTGGATGACATCACAGCCGCTCGGTTACCCCCTCTGCATCACGAGCCTACGCAGCTGCTATCCCTAGAAGATTCAATAGCGATTCAGATCCAACAAAAGGAAGCTTATGAGGTATGGATGAAAGCACTGGTGCTTTGCATGAGCTCCTGTTACATATTATGGTTAAGGGGTGATATGATAGCCATGTTCAAATATATAAAAGGATGTCACATAGAGGAGGGAGAAAGGTTGTTTTCTGCTGCTCCAGAGAAGCGGACACGGAGCAATGGATCCAAACGACAAGAAAGAAGATTCCACCTAAACATTAGGAAGAACTTCCTGACAGTAAGAGCTGTTCGACAGTGGAATTTGCTGCCAAGGAGTGTGGTGGATCTCCATCTTTGGAGGTCTTTAAGCAGAGGCTTGACAACCATATGTCAGGAGTGCTCTGATGGTGTTTCCTGCTTGGCAGGGGGTTGGACTCGATGGCCCTTGTGGTCTCTTCCAACTCTATGATTCTATGATATTATGGGGACATGCAGATTGGGGTGGTGGAGAAGTGTCTGCTAGGATTTTGTTCGAAAGAGGGAATTCCTTGAGCACAGAGTTAGAACAGTTTGTGGTTGCAAAGAGGCTTCAATACTTTTGCTTTGCCTTGGGCTATGGAGGACAGAGGAAAGAAAGGAGGCACAAGGTCCAGCCCCAGCCCCAAACCAACATCAGGGAGAATGCATTGCTTGGTGGTGGTACAGCACAGCTTATCCTGAAGAATATGCAGGCTCAGTGGAAAGGTAGCAGGAGGTGGGAGAGACGTGTTGTGCATCAGGTGGCAAAGGTGGGTAGGAAACTTCTCCCTCTCCCATAATACTAGAACTCAGTGGGGGTCATCTGGTGTGGCTGGAGCAGGGAAGGTTGAGGACAAGCAGAAGAAAGTACTTCTACATGCAAAATACAGTCAGATTATGGAACTCACTCCCACAAGAGGTAATGGTGGCTATCAATTTTGGTGGCTATAAGAGAGACTAATTCATGTAGGATAAGACTATCCATTGCTACTAGTCAAGATGGCTGTGTTTTAGACCCCGTTAGAGGCAGTATGCTCTGCAAGCCAGCTGCCGAGTGCTGTTGTGCCCAGTTCTTGTGGCTTCCCATAATGGGAACCTGGCAGGCCACTATCAGAAGAGGATGCTGGACTAGATGAGCGCCTTTTGGCCTCATGCAGCTGCTGCAGGGCTGTTCTTGTTTCTGCCTGAGATATTGGAAAACTTGCCAGTCAGAGGAGGCAGTACTTGGCCATATGGATCAATGGATTGGCTCAGTAGTACCAGTATTCAGCTTCACCCAAAATATGCTGCTTTCTAAAAGCACTTGGATAGGAATGTTCTGAATAGAAATGTTCAAAGCAAACTGCACTTATTTATTTTGATATTTATTCCCCATTTGTCTGTGATTGCAATCAAACTCATGTTGACTTACAAGTAAAAATACGCAGATTGCAAATAAGCCAGTTTTGCATAGCTTTGAAATTCTACATGCTGAATTTGAGTTATGAATCTTTTTCATATGCACATCCACTTAATTTACTTGCAAGCCTTAATTTAATTGAAATGCAGGTGAGAATGGAATGAATACAGAAGAGTATCGGGCACTAAATTAATACTGTCCTGTCACGCTCTGCTTTGTTTTCTTTTGCTTATTGTGATGTTAATAAACAACTTGGGACGGTTTGTCTGTAATTAAATTACAAATAATGTCATATCTGGTCCAACCATCTCGGATTTGTAGACTCAGCTAGATAAACATCAGCCAGAGTTGATTTTTCTCTCTGAACACCTTCGCCTGAAGTGCAATTCGCCTGCAAAGGACAATTACTTCCAGCATTTAACAGCTAGTTTGCTCTATGATGTCTCTTTCTTTCTTCAAGTTCATGAATTAATACACTGGTGTTGAAACTCAGTGGTTAAGGATGCCAGAGAAAAGAGAGGACTGGATCTCCCTCTCCACCTACCTGCTTGCACTGGGCTTTTTGTCCTTAGGGTCCCCTTTGCCATCTTGTTCTGCAACTCTCTCTCTCTCTCTCTCTCTCTCTCTCTCTCTCTCTCTCTCTCTCTCTTTCTCTCTCTCTCTCTTTGTCCAAATACTTCCCAGTGTTCAGCACAATGTGGCAAAGTTGCTTTTGCACTGTGAATGACAGTCTTGTTCCCCCACTCCTCTTCTCCACTGCCTTTCTTTCTAGCATGGCACTGCGCCTCGATACCAGGGGATTCTGTGGGCAGCTCATAGTATATGGCTTTCTCTGGTGTGTTTCTGTTGGGCCTAGGGACCACCCTAGCATTTACTCACTTTCAGTTACTGGTTTCTCTTCTCTGTTTTTATAGGAAATGCTAGCCAAACTTGCAGCCCAGAAGCTTGCAGGCAGACTAGGCCCTCAGATGGCCAGCTATGAGCCAGAGGGGGAGACGCTGGGCAACTACAGAGAAGTGAGGGACGAGGAATGCTACAGCTCAGCTGAAGACTGAGTGCAAGGCAGAATCTGCAGTGGATGCCTGGGCGAAGACTCAGAAGGATCGCAGTGCTTTTTGCTCTTGTGGGCTGCTACATCTTTGCCCAAGGACGTTAGGAGTGCTCACCTGCGGAGGCCCTGGATTAACCAGAGTGCTGCAGAGGTTTCCAGATTCCCTGTTCCCTTTTCTGTTGCTTGCCAAAGAAGCTGGTGCATTTTGAAAGCTTGTAAGTCATAGAAGCAGCAGTCCACAGTGGCCTGCCTCAGTTGGGTTTGTGCAGGGGCATACTGAGTCTGCTGTGCCCCCCATGTAAAAGGGGGAGGCAGCGGATGCAAGAGCAGCCAAGTCTCTGCCTTCTAGTCTTTGACTGATTCCAAACAAATGTAGGATTTGTTAACTTGTGTAAAAGATTACAAATATTTTCTATTTAAAAATACAAGTGTTGTGTTTCTATATTTTTCTATGTGGCATTAAAATTCAGGAGCATCATGTTTCAGTGTGTGTCTCCTTGTGATGTCAGGGTTAAAATACCTCCCTGTCAGTTAGTTCCACTGCCTGTGAAGGCATCTCCTGGATCAGGGCTGACCAAACCAGGGGGGGGGGAGGGAAGAAGTGTACATCTCTGCTCTGTAGATATTTGCTGTGGAGAAGAGAAGATCCAACCCTTTGCAGATCAGTAGTCTCTAGGAGTGCTGCAGGTATGAGGCACATGTGCTGGGGTGGAATGAAGGCATTCAGAGGCAGGAAGTGACTGAAGAGGCAGATCAGTCATAGTCCTTCACCTTCTCAGAGTATGTCCAGTTCAGTTCTGCAGGTTTCCTTTTGCTGCCTCCTGTTTAAACTTTGATGGAGCCACTGTTGGGGGTGGGTGGTTAGATAGAGCCCTTGGGACTGTGGCAAAGGCTCATAGCACAGTGTTAGTACACATGATTGGCAGGCAGAAGATGCTGGTTCAATCACAGCATCTCCATGGGGTTGTGTGAGTCTCCCTGTTTGAAGCCCTGGGAACCTCAGCTTGCCAGCGTAGCAGGTCATGAGCTAGATGCACTAGTGAAGGCAACCTCCTCTGTTGGCTAAAGTGTGGGGATGGCTAACCTGCCCATGGGATGCAGCTACCCCCTCAAGAGGTTATTTTGCACCTCCTCAAGACCCTCACCCCAATTTGTCTTAAAAAAACAAAAACAAAAGTTAATTTTGAAAGGTCTTTTTACTGCTTCAAGTCTCCTGCTGTGAGACAATGGTCAAAAGGTTTTTTGTGACCTCCCAAGCCACTCCAAATTTTTAATTTTAATTATGTGTGTGTGTTTCCATTTCGGCATAGTCCATGGGTAGGCAAACTATGGTCCGGGGGCTGGATCCGGACCAATCACCTAAATCTGGCCCACAGACGGTCCGGGAATCAGTGTGTTTTTACATGAGTAGAATGTGTCCTTTTATGCATCTCTGCGTTATTTGTGGGGCCTGCCTGGTGTTTTTACATGAGTAGAATGTGTGCTTTTATTTTAAAAGCATCTCTGGGTTATTTGTGGGGCATAGGAATTCATTCCTTTCCCCCCAAAAAAAATATAGTCCGGCCCCCCACAAGGTCTGAGGGACAGTGGACCGGCCCCCTGCTGAAAAAGTTTGCTGACCCCTGGCATAGTCCATCATCTTCATCAACCATTCGTCTCTGGTCGGGATTGACCATTTAATTTTTTTAAGTCCTTTACTCACTGGCCTCCCCCACAGGCCCCCTACTGTGTATCAATGATGCCAGAATGGTTTTGTGACACCCCACCATTTGCCCTTCAAAAAAAAAGTCCCTGTCCCCCTTTACACATTGGCTACATACTCAGTTTGACATGTGACCCCCAGTGTAGTAGAATCCAGTGCTAATCCTACTCCAAATAGAACCATTGAAGTTAATGGACATGACTAATTTAGGCTCATTAATTCCCATGGATCTACTCTGAGTAGGACTTGTTAGGCTATGGCCCTCTGCTTAGACTTGTTCTGCATCACCCAAGCACTTGCTTCTAGCCTCTTAATGGCAGTCAGGTGCAGTGAAAGAGGGGCCTCATTTGAGACACTGCCTTGGGGGAGTGACCCTCATCACATCTTAAATGTGGTTGCCTTCAAAGCTGCCTACTTCCCACCATCTAGTCCAGAGAAGATTCTTGATGTGTGTGAAAGAGAAAGATTACACATGTAAAACATGGTTCTTTCTTTGCCACCACCTTTGCCTAAAATGGCGAACACCAGATTAATTTTGTAGCACTACGCTCCTTTGAAGATATACTTTATATTAAATGCTAGCAGGCTTTCTAATGGTGGTGGAATCTGCTCTGGGTGTAACATAGTTTAAAATCTTAAACGCATCAACAAAAGCGCACTCTGGGCTCCTTAAAGTCAGTGAAAGTGTTGCCATTGGGCTGCTGAGAGAGCAGGGGGCCTTGGGAGAGGCACGTCTTAGTCCACCCAAAGTGTAAAGGTAAAGGGACCCCTGACCGTTAGGTCCAGTAGTGACTGACTCTGGGGTTGCAGCGCTCATCTCGCTTTACTGGCCAAGGGAGCCGGCGTACAGCTTCCGGGTCATGTGGCCAGCATGATTAAGCCACTTTTGGCGAACCAGAGCAGTGCACGGAAACGCCGTTGACCTTCTCGCTGGAGTGGTACCTATTTATCTACTTGCACTTTGACATGCTTTCGAACTGCTAGGTTGGCAGGAGCAGGGACCAAGCAACGGGAGCTCACCCCGTCGCGGGGATTCGAACCGCCAACCTTCTGATCGGCAAGTCCTAGGCTCTGTGGTTTAACCCACAGCGCCACCCGCGTCCCTACCCAAAGTGTACCTCTGTTCAAAACAGTGGGAGAGGTCCAAGTCCTCTTGCCCGTCTTTCTTTTGCCCTGTAATTCTGCTGCACCCCCCCTACTTATTCCCCCCTCACCCTGTTTCTTCTTCCTACCTGCTGCCCTCCATGCTCTCCACTGAACCCTCCTGGAGTCCCATTAACTTTGCAGCGTTTCCTCCTTGTGCTCTTCTTGACTACGATGTTTGCTGTCTGCAATGGGGGCTCTTTCCCCTTGTTCAGTACCGTTCGACATGGATGCATTTGTGAGCAAATTTGGTGCATTACAGTTTTCAATTAATAACAAAGTTTATGAGTAAGAAATAGGCTGTGTTATAAGGCTGGTTTCTACGAATTGCAGATAACTCCCTTCCCAAGAATGTTTTAGCCAATGAAAATGCTTGAGAACCTCTGTCCATTTCTCATGCATGCACACATGTGCAACACCCCTACACTCCTGCCCTAACACAGCCAGGCTCTCTCATGTGGGACTTGCCCAGGAGGCTGTCACGACGGGTTGCGCCTCAGTTTTTGAGAGTGAGATTTCTCCATCCACCATCAATGGCGCCCTGAATTCACCCCCTCTCAGCTTCATAGTTATACTCTTGTCTTGCTTTTTCTTTTCCTTTTAAAAAATAAAGTGCAGGAATTTGCTAACTCCCAATTAATTTGGTGGACACCTTTTTCTGACTTGTGTCGTTATGCACCACCTTCGGTTCTTTTTCCCTTAATTTTTTTTGGTCCATTTTAAGCTGTTCTGATTGTCACCACACCAATTATAGCGAGGCTTTAATGACAGCTGATGATAAATATTAGCTTTCTTCGGTCGTATGTCATGTCTGCAGGCCTCTCTTTTTGCAAGCCAAGCAGTTTTTTTTTTGGTGTGTGTGGCAAAGGGCCAGGAATTTTAATGAAAGAAAACATCAAAGTTGCGGAAGAAATGAGAATATTAGTCAAGGAAGATTCGCAGGGCCTGCTCCCTGATAACCCCCTGCTAACGGACTTCAGAACTATGTGGGAGAAACTTAAACAAACATCTGGACACCAAGTTTAGCCATCCCCAGTGACAGAACCCAGACAGATCTTCTGAGCTTGCAATAATAAATATCTTGGGGAAGCCTCCATGAATCAACTTTAAACCCCTGTTTTCAATTATTCTCGTTTTTAGAAAGACATCAGAGTTAATTATCCATGGATAGAACCTCTTCTGATGTTTATTGAATCGGAGTTTGGTGTGGTTCCCCCCACTCTTTTGTGCTAAGCTTCCCATTTTTAATAGGATCCTATTTACTTTTGTTTGCCCCCAAAGCAATAGCTACAGTGACTTGCCCAGTCTCATTAGGGCAAAAGGGTGAAGGAAAACCACTTTCTGAAGCACTGGAGGCAGTGGGATGGTGCCATTACTTCTCTGTTTTGAAGAATAGGCAAAGGTCTTTGTCATTTTTTTGTCCTGCTATGATGGAATGAAGGAGACTGTAAGCTGGCAGTGGAGGGGTCCCATTGGCTGGCGCCTTTAGAAACACCACCCCTTCAGGGGAGAGTTTTTAAAATATCTTGCAAGTTGAGGGATAAACATATAACATATCGTCTGAAAAACTGAGCTTCTTGGGCTTGCTGATCGGAAGGTCAGTGGTTCAAATCTGTGCAATGGTGGTGAGCTCCCATTGCTCTGTCCCAGCTCCTGCCAACCCAGCAGTTCGAAAACACACCGGTGCTAGTAGATAAATAGGTACCATTGTGGTGGGAAGGTAAACGGCATTTCTGTGTACTCTGGCTTCCATCACAGTGTCCTGTTGCAACAGAAGTGATTTAGTCCTGTTGGCCATATGACCCGAAAAGCTGTGGACAAACTCCGGCACCCTCGGCCTGAAAAGCGAGATGAGCGACGCAACCCCATAGTCGCCTTTTACTGGCCTTAACTGTCCAGGGGGTCCTTATCTTTTATATATAACATGCTGTTGGATCAGACCAAAGGGCTATCTAGCCGCACACTCTTCTTGAGTGACTAAGTGCTATTGTGGTTCGTGGTCCTGTGATTTGTGAAAGGGCCTTCTTGGGGGCAGCTCCCTGGCCTCTCCTCCTTGAGCTCCATCTAAGCTGACACTGACATCTAAAAGGATATAGGTTGTTAGTCAGCCAAAGGCCTGGCTGAAGAGGATATTTTTGCCTGGCGCCTAAAGGTGTGTAATGAAGAGCATTCCACAAACGGGGAGCCGCTGCAGAAAAGGCCTGTTCTCATGTTGCCAGACTTCTCACAGAGGAGGCACACAAAGAAGAGCCTCACGTGATGACTGCAGGGTCCAGGTCAGTTCATATGGAGAAAGGCAGTCCTTGAGGTATTGCAGTCCTGAGCTATTCAAGGCTTTCTAGGTCAAAACCAGCACTTTGAATTGGGCCTGGAAGCCAGTGCAGCCGGGCCAGGATCTGTGTAATATGCTCAACCTCTCTTGCCCCAGTGAGCAACCAGGCTGCTGAATTCTTCACTAGCTGAAGTTTCTGAGCCATCTGCAGAGGCAGCCCTAAGTATAACATATTACTGTTCTCTAACCTTGAGGTTACCAGAGCACAGACAACTGACGTTAGGCTATCCCTGTCCCATCAAGAGCAGGCAACCTCCCGGCCATCTGGTCCAGGGACCCGCTCGACAACAATGCCGCCCTACT